TAGACCGCCTATCCAAGATGGCTCACTTTCTGCTGCTCAAGAACACACCCTCTGCTCCCGAGACGGTTCATCTCTTCATCAATGAAGTAGTAGGGCTCCATGGAGTCCCTAGGAACATTGTATTAGACCAAGGAGTCCAATTCACATCAAAGTTTTGGAGAGCCCTGTGAGAAATACTAGAGATCAAGCTGTCATTTTCCTCGGCATACCACCCGCAGATGAATGGGCAGACGGAGCGAACCAACCAGACGTTGGAGCAGTACCTCAGGTGCTATACCTCTTTCCTGCAGGACGATTGGTTGGCCCTCTTACCGTTAGCAGAATTTGCATATAATAACGCAAACCACTCCGCCACCAAACAATCACCATTTTACGCCAACTATGGGTTCCAACCCACTTTCCTTCTGGATCTGATTCCAGAAAACCCAGTGCCAGCAGCTCAGGATGCCATACGTTTCTTCACATCTAACAACAAATTACTACAAGAAGCAGTAACAAAGGCCCAGGAGGGTAACAAAAAAGCATTTGATAAAAGGAGAAAGGGGGAATTGGTCATACACCCAGGAGATCAGGTGTGGTTAGCAACAACCAACCTGAAAATGGCCTGTCCATCAAAGAAGTTGGCACCCAAGTTCATAGGTCTGTTTCCGGTAAAATGAAAGATCAATGAGGTAGCCTTCGAATTGGCACTACCTGAATCCTTCCGCATACACCCAGTATTCCACGTATCTCTGTTGAAACCTGCAACTCCAGATCCTTTCCCGGATCGCAGATCAAACCCTCCGGTAGCCTTGGATATTGACGGCGAAGAAGAGTTCGAGGTAGAGGCAATCTTGGATTGCAGGAGGAGAGGGGGTCGGGTACAATACTTAATTAAATGGAAAGGCTACGGCCCAGAAGAAAATTCATGGAACCAGCCCAGAATGTCCACGTTTCCAGATTAATTCGAGAGTTTCATTGCAACCATCCACAAAGGAGAGGTCAGTTGGGCATCCGGAGGCTGCCCGCAGGGGTGGGGCAATGTCAGGGATCCCAGCCACTCGGAGGTGCGCGCATGCGCAGATCGCCGACACGCACTAGCCAGCGAGCATTGAGACATAGACGATCGCGGCGACCGTGCATGCGCACTCATGATCGCGGCCTGTCACCAATGAGGGCACAGGGCACCCTATTTAAATCAGCCCTATGCATCTCCAAATCGCCTTATGGTCTTGTTCCCTGTTCCTGTGTTCCTGATTACCTTGTTGCCGACCCAGCCTGTTCCTGATACTGCTGTCTTCTCCTGCTCTGACCCCTGGCTCGTCCTGACTATTTTCTGCCTGATACTGATTGCCTGACCTCCTGTTACTGAACCCGGCTTGTGACCTGTTATTCTTTTGCCTGCCGCTCTGTACTGTCTGCTCCGCTGTTGCCAACCCGGCCTGTCTGACCACGCATACCTCTTCACATCTGGCTCTTACCTGCTCTACGCCATTGGCATCCGCCTCTACCACAGCTGGTGTTTCTCGGGGGTCGCGACCTGGTCTCAGGCTGCTTTAAGTCCATCCCCACCATCAGTGGCTCTGGTGAACCAGCAGACTGAGGCTTAGACTCCGCGCCCTGAGGGACTCCAGCCAGTGTGCTGCTAGAGGCTACCGCCAGTCGACTGCTGACACAGGCAAAGCGACGTACCCGTTCGTCGCTTTGCTCCTCTGGGTTTAGACAGCGCACACACCCCTCCCCGCTGTCAAGTTGTAGGAGGTGTATGTCAGCAGGTCTCGGCCAGTGATTTTGAGACTGGGACTCTTCCGATCTCCTACAGCGAATGGAGATGCAGAGCTGTTCCTGCATTTGTAAATACAGGCACAGGATCTAGCTGGTTCTTCTCTCCCTGGAACCATTTTGCTCCAGAGAGAGAAGAAAAACGTCACACGTGAGTAAAAGCAGCACACTGCACCCCTTGATTGCCACAATTAACCCTTTGATTACCCCTTGCCACCTTGCCAGTGCCATTAGTACAGTGTCAGTGTACAGTATTTTTCACTGATCACTGCATTAGTGCCACTAGCAACATCAGATAGCGTCAGATAGCATCAGGGTTGGTTAGTGTCCCTCCCAGCTAGGGTCAGCTAACGTTAGATTGCCCGCACACTATCGCACTCACGCTATAGGTCACTGATCACCGTCATTACTAGTATTGTGTTTGTATGGATCAATATATTGATCATGAACAAAACTATATCAGTGCCCCCTTAGTATTAGTGTCCCCAAAATTGCAGTGTTAGCAGGATCATCCCCGTTCGCTGCCAGCACTAGCGTTTAGCCCCAACGCTCCCCCCCACTCCTAACAAGAAGTGCAGTGTCAGTATAATTTCTGATCACTGTCACCTGTACTACATTGCACACAAAACCATAGTGTTCACAGAATCGGGCCTGATCTCTGTTAGCACTTACCGGTAATTTTTTTTGTAGTGGTTCAAGCAGTCTCTGAAAGCCAGGTGCTCTTTTTCCCGTGAGTCGCACTAGGTACCTATAACTTTAGAGCCCAAAATGTCTAACGAAAGGTACACTAGTGAAAAGGCCTACAGGATTCTGAGCATGTCAGGTAAGAGCAAAGGGGAAGACTCCCTGACACAATCATCCTCAGAATACGAACCTGACAGCAGCGGCACCCTGACAGGTAGCTCGGACGATGGAGAAGATCAGGCGTACCCGACCTCATGAAGCTGAAGTGCTAGGATTGCATGACTTGTCTCATATGCAGCAGAGTGCCAGTACTAGTGCCGCACTACCTTTTGGTGAACTGGCGAGCACCAGCGGCTTAGTATATCCCGGTCTTTTTTATACCAGCACTGCAGTGTCACTTGGTGATGTGATGAGTCCCATAAGTGCAGTACAAGCTGGTGCGGTGGCAAGCACAAGTAGTGTCCCACAGCCACCAGGAATTCGCACGCAGGCCCATAGAGCCCCTAGTGTCCTTCCAGACATGCTTGCAAATCCTGATTAGCAGCCCACAGATTCTGCATCACCCGTACTTCCCCCATTCACTGCCCAACCCAGAATCCCCTTGATTTTATGGGGCTGTTTTTTACAGACGATTTGTACAATTTGATTGTGGGCTAAAGCAATTTATATGCTCAACAATATATCGAAGCAAACCCAAATTCAAACCTTGCCAGACCATGTGCATGGAAACCTATTAGGGTTTCTGAATTTAAAACTTTTCTGGGCCTAACCCTCAAGATGGGCATTACAAAAAAGAATGAGTTGCGGTCGTATTGGTCCACAAACCCGAGTCATCATATGTCCGTCTTCTCTGCTGCCATGACCAGGCATAGATATGAGACGATAATGGGCTTCATGCATTTCAGTGATAACACACTCCTGAACCTGACAGGCTCTACAAAATTCGGCCCCTCATAAACCACCTCACTGAGAAATTTGCAGATGTGTATACACCCCAGCAAAACATCTGCGTGGATGAGTCCCTCATTCACTTTACTGGCCACCTTGCATTCAAACAGTACATCCCCAGCAAGCGTGCCAGATACGGGGTCAAATTGTATAAGCTCTATGAGAGGGACACAGGCTATACGTACATATTTAGGGTTTATGAGGGAAAGAGACAGTGAAGTAGAGCCCCTGACTGCCCAGACTACATGGGGAGCAGTAGCAAGATACTTTGGGACTTGGTGCCGTGTTTGTTCCGTAAGGGGTACCACTTGGACAATTTTGTATACAAGCGTGCCGCTATTTAGACATTTGTACAATCTTGGAATTGGCGCATGGGGCACCGTGTGCGACCTAATTGGCAGGGCTTCCCCCAACAGCTTGTAAATACCCGACTTAGAAAGGGGAAGAAAACCTGCTTAAGGAATGATGAATTACTCGCAGTGAAGTAGAAGGACAAACAGGATGTTTTACTCCTGTTTTCCATTCATGCAGACGTGACAGTCCAAATTAACACGGTATCTGGCCTTGTTGAGAAACCCCTCGTGTCCACGACTATAACCTTAACATGGGAGGGGTGGACTTCAATGACCAAATGATGAATCCGTACCTAGTTTCCCAGAAAGCTCGACACTGGTACAAAAAGGTATCTATTTATTTATTTCAATTGGCTATACTGTAGATATCGCTCAGATGTGCTTATATTGTGCTAATAAACTGTACACCTAATGCTGCACTTAGTCCGGTGCCCCTCTCCTTTCTTTCCAAAGAATATGTCATGTCTGTAGCAGACACAGAATGTTTTGTGCAGAAGCAATCCTAGTGGCTAATTAGCTGCAGGATTGCTTTTACAAGTAGCGGGAGAAGATCCTCCCCCGCTCTCTTCCACAGCCTTCTTGGGCAGTCCCAGTCTAAAAAAACAGAAGCTACGAGCATTTCATCACTTCAGTTTCACAGGATATAAACAGCGCCGTTTGTAAATTGGGAAAGCATCTGATCACACTGATCTTGGTGAGATTAGATAATGTAAGGGCAGAGGAGGTATCTAGAGTCTGATAGACCCCAGATTTCTCAAAAAGATTATATGACAATGCCCATTGAAGTTATAGGGGATACTTGCATTCCCTGTGATAGCATTAAACGTGATAAAAAAATGAAAGGGACAGTGTGAAAATAATTTAAAAAATAAAATTATTAAAAAAAAAAAAAAAACACCTTCCCCCCACGCACCTGCGTGTGTGAGCATTGACCCTGTGTCAGTATGTAAGCAGCAATTGCAAAATGCATGTGAGGTATCGCCAGATCAAGGGCAGTAAATCTAGCACTAGACCTCCTCTGTAAATCTAAAATGGTAGCTTGTAAAGGCTTTTAAAATGTTGCCTATGGATATTAACCACCTCCCGCCCACCATATAGTAATATGACGGATGCAAGGTTGTTCTCTCATTCTGGGAGGATGTCATATGACGTCCTCCCATTCTCACCGCGCATGCGCGGCTCAGGGAGCGCGCAGCGTGGCGATCGGCGGTGCGCTGTGTCCCTCGGACACAGCGGATCACCAATCACGGAAAGAGCCGAAGATGTCGGCTCGGTCATGTGATCAGCTGTGTCCAATCACAGCTGATCACATGTAAACAGGGAAATGCCAGTTATCGGCATTTCTCTCCTCTCGAGTTGTCACGCTGACAGCTCGAAGAAGGGAGCCGGTAATCGGGCAGGGCACTGATTATCTGTGTGCCCTGATGATCAGTGTAGCCCCAGCAGTGCCACCTGTCAGTGTCCATCAGTGCCTTGTGTCAGTGCTCATCAGTGCCTCGTGCCAGTGCCTATCAGTGCACATCAATGCCACATATTAGTGCCCATCTGAGCTGCCTTTCGGTGTCACCCATCAGTGCCAGTCAGTGCCACCTATCAATGCCAGTCAGTGCCACCTGTCAGTGCCGCCTATCAGTGCCATGTATCAGTGCTGCCTTTCAGTGCCCATCAGTGATGCCTGTCAATGCCCATCAGTGCCACCTACCAGTGCCTCCTCATCAGTGCCCATCACTGCCACCTATCAGTGTCCATCAGTGCAGCCTATCAGTGCCCATCACTGCAGCCTCATTAGCGCACATCAGTGTAGGAGAAAAATCACTTATTTACAAAATTTTATAACAAAAACTAAGAAAAAACTTTTTTTTTCAAAATTTTCAGTGGTTTTTGGTTTGTTTAAGAAAAAATAAAAAACCCAGAGTTGATTAAAGACCACCAAAATAAAGCTCTATCTGTCACAAAAAAATGATAAAAATTTCTTATGGGTACAGTGTTGCATGACCGCGCAATTGTCATTTTTAAAAAAAATATGCATTTGAAAAAATCACTGCGTGAGTACTATGTGACATAAAAAATTGCAGCACCCATCATTTTATTCACTAGGGTGTCTGCTTTAAAAAAATATATATAATGTGTGAGGTTGCAAAGTAATTTCCTAGCAAAAACTACAGATTTTTTTCATGTGAACAAAAGGCTTGGTCTTCAGGTGGTTAGAAGAGTGAGTGATGCGTGGCATAAACTTCTAAGGCCCCCTCCCCCCAAAACGACCCCTTTTTGGAAAGTAGACACCCCAAACTATTTGCTGAGAGGCATGTTGAGTCAATAGAAGAATTAATTTTTTTTACCACAAGTTTTTGGAAAATTACAAAAAAAAATATTTTTTTTTTACACAAAATTGTCATTTAAATGATTTATTGCTCACATGGGTGCCATGAGTATATGTGGAATTACTCCCCAAAATACATTCTGCTACTTCTCCCAAGTATGGGGATACCACATGTGATCAGTGGGTTATGGTCCTAAATCATTGGCTGGGACTCACTGATTGGCATGATTTACCCCCTTTCCTGACCAGACCATTTTTTGTGTTACGGTGCTGCGTTAACTGACAGGTAGGGGGCATGGACGTACACACCCACAGCCCTGGCTTTGCTGTCATTCGCTACAGCACATGCCAATCAGTGAGTCCCGGGCAATGATTTATGACCATAACCCACTGATCTGCTGAGTGAATGATAGAAGAGAGCCCTGTGTTGGCAGACAAAACAGAGCTTTCTGTATATAGCAGTGATGCGCCGTTCTTTTTCTCCCTGAGTAAAGACCGGCACATTGCTTAGTAAAACAGCACACAGTACACATTGGTAGGCACAGTTAACCCTTTGATTGCCCCTAAATGTTAACCTCTTCCCAGCCATTGACAGTGTATATTATTAGCACTGGTCACTGCATTAGTGTCACTGGATATGTCAGTGTCATTTAGTCAGTTAGTTGGTAGATACTATAACTTTCATGCAAATCAATGAATATACACTTATTGGGATTTTTTTTTTACCGAAGACAAGTAGCAGAATACATTTTGGCCTAAATTTATGAAGAAATCTGTTTTTAAAATTTTTATCGGCAATGTTTTATAGTAGAACATAAAAAATATAGGTTTTTTTAAAATTTTCATTCTTTATTTATATAATAAAAAAAATAAAAAAAAACAGTGTTGATCAAATACCACAAAAAAAGCACTATTTGTGTTAAAAACAATTATATAAATGTAATTTGGGTACAGCATTGCATGACCTTGCAATTACCAGTTAACTTAAAGCAGGGCCAAATAGAAAAAATGGCCTGGTCATGAAGGAGGTAAAACCTTCCAGAGCTTAAGTAGTTAATAACATAGAAACAAACAATAATCAACAGGAAAATAATAGCTGAAGGTAGAAAAAAGAATAGGGAGTTAATTAGGGCTGATTAGAACAAAGGGTTGTAAGTGATTAGACAGGAACATTTTATTTAAAAAAAACCAAAAAACTTTTTTTTACTTGTCAGTTTGCGTTAACTCGGCCTTTTTTCAAACAAGGTGCCTTCAGGTTTCTTCAGGGGTGTCTTGGCAAAATGCCTAAAAATTGTATAAAAACCAGCAGATGGATGTAGCCTGCCTTTTACTTACACAAAGCCACAAGTTTTCACTGTGCACCATTGCAACTTTCTAGCTGCCAGCAACATTTCAACCAATGATGTCATCAGTTGATAAGAAGAACATTGGGCACCTGCAACGCATACTTACTTGCCCCTCTCTGTCAGCACTGGGGTCCCATTAGCTGAGTGGAAGAGATAAACTGAGAGAGAAGAAAAATATAATACTAGTCAGTACCAGTGTGCAAAGGTGTATTTGCTTTGGAAGAAAAAAATCACCTCTAACATTGGGTGTCCCACATGTACAGATGTTGCTGTGTTCTGTAAAACTATTCATTTAATTTTTTACATTTTGTAATGGGTGCCTCAAGATTGTGCATAATTTTAAAGGGTGCCACAAGATTGTGCTGAATTTTAAAGGGTGCTTTGACTGAAAAAAAGTTCAGATACACTGCCTTAACCAACATCATTTGCAGATCGAAGTTCATTCCTTTGATTGCAGATGAATGAACAGAAAGATACAAAAAGTAACATTATGTTACTTTGAATTTTTTCTACATTGGTATCTGAGTAATATAGAAAGGCTGACTTAAGAACCACATTAACCTAGCAATATGTTCCAAAAGTGAAAGTCACCTTTATATTGAATGTCTGTTGCAAGTTATTAAGGTTGGGATTGTGTTTTTTCCGTTAGGGACAATAATCATATTTAATAAATATCCCTAAATCTTGATCCTGGGACACCATCACTGGCTCCAGATGCACCACCAATAATAGCTAATAGGCGGTAGATGTATGTGCTCCAAGATAGCAAGGTAACACCATCGTATGTACAAGAATTTAAGATGAAGCACTGCTTGCGCTGGAGAAGCAAGCGAAAACCCAAGGCAAGTACATTGACCTACTACTACTTCTTCCCGTGAACATACTATTATGGTGGGGAGAGTTTCCCAGGCTTTGATCACATATATTTATTCATTGTTCGAATATAACGATAGTTCGACAGTGAACATCAAACAGAGGGGACAATTCACTAAGCGGTATCTTACTGCATCTGAGTATGTGGCAAGATACCGCACAGCTACTAAAAACATTCTTTAATATTTCAGCTGTCAGTGAGGTTCCCTGCTGACAACTGAATGCAAAATGAATTGCTGGCATTGCCCGCAAATTAAAAAACATCTATACTAAATCCTTTGGCTCTGGCATGGATTTTAAGGGGAATCCCCAGGCCAAAATTGTTTTTAAAAATGCGTGGGGGTCCTTGTCCAAAATCCATACCAGACCCTTATCCGAGCACGCAGTCCAGCAGGTCAAGAAAGGGGGGAACGAGCGAGTGCCCCCCCAAACCATACCAGGCCACATGCCCTCAACATGAGAGGGGTGCTTTGGGGCAGGAAGGCTGTTGATAGGGACAAGGGCATCTTCCCGACAACTGTGGCTGGTGGTTGTGGGGGTCTGTGGGCAGGGGGCTTATCAAAATCTGGAAGCCCCCCCGCCAGATCCAGTGCTTCCATGTGAATGAGTATGGGGTACATGGTACTGTTACTCATTCTTAAAAAAAAAAAAAAAACCTGTAGTGTAAAAAATTACAGTAGACAGTCTTTGACAAGTCCTTTATTAAAAAAAAATTAAAAAAATGTCCCCCAAAGTAGATCCAACATCAACAACGTTGCCCGCTGCCACCACAAGAAAGAAAGAAAGAAAAAAAAAAAAACCGCTCCGCTCTCGGCGCTGGCTCCCGCCATCTGACAGCTGTGCCGGGATGACAGTTCTTAAATACCGTGATGACATCACAAGGGATGTCCTCATGCGCTGTGATTAGCCAAAGTATTGCACCTGATCTGTGGTCTCGCTGTCTCCACTCTAATTCATCCTAAAGGTGTTCTATTGGGTTGAGGCCAGGGACCAGGACTCTGTGCAGGCCAGTCAAGTTCCTCCACCCCAAACTTGCTCATCCATGTCTTTATGGACCATGCTTTGTGCACTGGTGTGCTGTCATGTTGGAACAGGAAGGGGCCATCCCCAAACTATTCCCACAAAGTTGGGAGCATGAAATTGTCCAAAATGTCTTGGTATGATGAGGCCTTAAGAGTTCTCTTCATTGGAACTAAGGGGCCAAACCCAACCCCTGAAAAACAACTCCACACCATAATCCCCCCTTCACTAAACTTTAAACTTGGCACAATGCAGTCTGACAAGTACCGTTCTCCTGGCAACTGCCAAACCCAGACACGTCTATCGGATTGCCAGAGAAGCGAGATTCATCACTTCAGAGAACACATCTCCACTGCTCTAGAGTCCAGTGGTGGTGTGATTTACACCACTGCACCCGATACTTTGCATTATACATGGTGATGTAGGGCTTGGATGCAGCTGCTGGTCATGGAAATGATGTCATACATCCCAGCAGTCTCCAGGAGACCGTATTTTTCGCTCCATAGGACGCACTTTTTTCCCCCCAAAAAAGGGGGGAAAATGTCAGTGCGTCTTATGGAGCGAATATGGAGTGGCCAGTCTGGTATTCCCACTGCTGCCACCGTGTCAGAATACCAGGCCGGCCGCTCGTCTCTTCTCTGCAGTAGAACCATACCTGTTCCTCGGTCCAGCGCTGTACAGTCTTCCGGCGCCGGTATCTTTAGTGTGGGCTCTCAGCTGTGACAGCCGGGTGCCCAGTGCGCATGCGCGAGAAGCGGTGCGCTTTGTGAATGGTACGGCGTCTTCTGGGACACATGACAGGTCCCAGAAGACGCCAGACCAATCACAAAGCGCAGCACTTCTCGAGCATGCGCAGTGGGCACCCGGCTATCAGCCGGGTGCCCGACTACAGGGAGGACAACTGTCAAATTCAGGTACCCGCTCCCCCTCCCTCCCCAAAGGTCTGCAGTTTCTGGTCATCCCCTGCACTGTTCGCAGTCTCTGGTCATCCCCTGCACTGTCCGCAGTCTCTGGTCATCCCCTGTACTGTCCGCAGTCTCTGGTCATCCCCTGTACGGTCCGCAGTCTCTGGTCATCTCCTGTACTGTCCGCAGTCTCTTGGTCATCCCCTGTACTGTCCGCAGTCTCTGGTCATCCCCTGTACTGTCTGCAGTCTCTGGTCATCCCCTGTACTGTCCGCAGTCTTTGGTCATCCCCTGTACTGTTCGCAGTCTCTGGTCATCCCCTGTACTGTCCGCAGTCTCTTGGTCATCCCCTGTACTGTCCGCAGTCTCTTGGTCATCCCCTGTACTGTCCGCAGTCTCTTGGTCATCCCCTGTACTGTCCGCAGTCTCTTGGTCATCCCCTGTACTGTCCGCAGTCTCTTGGTCATCCCCTGTACTGTCCGCAGTCTCTGATCATCCCTGTACTGTCCGCAGTCTCTGGTCACCCCCTGTACTGTCCGCAGTCTCTGGTCATCCCCTGTACTATGTCCACAGTCTCTGGTCATCCCCTGTACTCGTGTATGCAGTCTCTGGTCATCTCCTGTACTATGACCACAGTCTCTTGGTCATCCCTGTACTGTGTCCGCAGTCTCTTGGTCATCCCCTATACTGTGTCCGCAGTCTCTGGTCATCTCCTGTACTATGTCTGCAGTCTCTGGTCATCTCCTGTACTATGTCCGCAGTCTCTGGTCATCTCCTGTACCGTGTCCGCAGTCTCTGGTCATCTCCTGTACCGTGTCCGCAGTCTCTGGTCATCTCCTGTAGTATGTCCGCAGTCTCTGGTCATCTCCTGTAGTATGTCCGCAGTCTCTGGTCATCTCCTGTAGTATGTCCGCAGTCTCTGGTCATTTCCTGTACTATGACCGCAGTCTCTGGTCATCTCCTCTACTATGACAGCAGTCTCTGGTCATTTCCTGTACTATGACCGCAGTCTCTGTTCATCTCCTCTACTATGACCGCAGTCTCTGGTCATCTCCTGTACTGTGTCCGCAGACTCTGGTCATCTCCTGTACTATGACCGCAGTCTCTGGTCATCTCCTGTACTGTGTCCGCAGTCTCTGGTCATCTCCTGTACTGTGTTCGCAGTCTCTGGTCATCTCCTCTACTATGACCGCAGTCTCTGGTCATCTCCTGTACTGTGTCTGCAGTCTCTGGTCATCCCCTGTACTGTCCGCAGTCTCTGGTCATCCCCTGTACTGTCCGCAGTCTCTGGTCATCCCCTGTACTGTCCGCAGTCTCTGGTCATCCCCTGTACTGTCCGCAGTCTCTGGTCATCCCCTGTACTGTCCGCAGTCTCTGGTCATCCCCTGTACTGTCCGCAGTCTCTGGTCATCCCCTGTACTGTCCGCAGTCTCTGGTCTCCCCTGTACTGTCCGCAGTCTCTGGTCATCCCCTGTACTGTCCGCAGTCTCTTGGTCATCCCCTGTACTGTCCGCAGTCTCTGGTCATCCCCTGTACTGTGTCCGCAGTCTCTGGTCATCTCCTGTACTGAGTCCGCAGTCTCTGGTCATCCCCTGTACTGTCCGCAGTCTCTGGTCATCCCCTGTACTGTCCGCAGTCTCTGGTCATGCCCTGTACTGTCCGCAGTCTCTGGTCATCCCCTGTACTGTCCGCAGTCTCTGGTCATCCCCTGTACTGTCTGCAGTCTCTGGTCATCTCCTGTACTGTCCGCAGTCTCTTGGTCATCCCCTGTACTGTCCGCAGTCTCTGGTCATCCCCTGTACTGTCCGCAGTCTCTGGTCATCCCCTGTACTGTGTCCGCAGTCTCTGGTCATCTCCTGTACTGTGTCCGCAGTCTCTGGTCATCCCCTGTACTGTGTCTGCAGTCTCTGATCATCTCCTGTAGTACGTCCGCAGTCTCTGGTCACCTCCTGTAGTACATCCACAGTCTTTGGTCATCTCCTGTAGTATGTCCGCAGTCTCTGGTCATCTCCTGTAGTATGTCCGCAGTCTCTGGTCATCTCCTGTACTATGTCTGCAGTCTCTGGTCATTTCCTGTACTGTGTCTGCAGCCCATTGGTTCAGAATATTTTTTTTCTTGTTTTCCGCCTCTAAAACCTAGGTGCGTCTTATGGAGCGAAAAATAGGGTAAATAGTAATTTTTGTTTGTGGTAATTTTTGTTTAACCACTTGTGCTCAGATGCAGTTCCACTTTAAAACCACTTGCCCTCCAGAGGATTTATCCCCCTTCCTAACCAGGCCATTTTTGTGATACGGCGCTATAGATGCGTTACTTTAATTGAAAATTGCACGGTCATGCAATGCTGTACATAAGTGAAATTTTGAATTTTTCCCCCATAATAACCATGCTCTATTTTTTGTGATACGCTTTTTTATGTATATAATGAAATTTATGACCCCCCACAAATAGAGCTTTCTTTCTGTGGTATTTGATCACCTCTGTGTTTTTTTTTTTCTTGTGCTATAAACAACAAAAAGACCGACAATTTTGAAAAAAAAAACTATATTTTTTTACTTTTTGCTATAAGATATAGCCAAAAAAAAAATTTTTTTAAATCTAATTTCTTCATATATTTAGGCCAAAATGTATTCTGCTACGTCTTTGCTAAAAACAATTCCTAATATGTGTAAATGAATTGGTTTACGTGAAAGTTATAGTGTCTACAAATGGCAGTATATATACTGGAATTTTTATATTTATTATACTAGTAATGGCAGTGATCAGCAACTTATAATGGGACTGCAGTGGGAATTCTGACACTGGGTGGGAACTGACTGCCACTAATACAATTGTCAGTGCTAATAAAAAGCACTGACACTGTACTAATGACACTGGGCAGGAAGCGGTTAACATCTGGGGTGATCGAAGTATTAACTGTGTGCTGTGTATGTTTTACTAGGGAGACATGCTGCTTTGTATTTCTCTGCCGTGCAGAGATACAAAACAGCATGTCCATGCTGACAGGAGGGATATGTGTTGTTTACACACAGGCCTCTCCCGTCAGGTTTACCCATCGATCGCCAAGTGCAGCCCAGGAATTGCTGTATGGGACCCGGTGATCGACATCTCTAGCCACCAATAGCGGCATGGGTAGGGCGGTGCATGGACCTCCTATACAGGAATGCAAATCACGTATATACATGATTTTATGCAGCCCTGTAGCAGTACTTCTGCTATAGGGCAGAGGGCAAGAGGTTAACATTTGTTTTACCCTTAGGCGTGGAGAGGTTAAGCTGGGTTGCTTGATTTCCCCATTAACACAGTGTTGATGGATGAACGCCTCCCCCGGAGCTGCTTCCTGCAATAATTACATGTAAAATCTGACAGGCTGGTTGTACCCAAGTCATACACAATTGACTTAGGTACAATCAGTCTGCTCATAAATGGCTTGAATCTAGGGTTGCCACCTCATCCCTTTAAACCGGAACACATATTAATTACACAGGTTCTGAGGCTACTTTAATGCTGATAAGGCACCGAGTTTAATTACCACCTTGATCAGCCACAGAACTTGTGTAATTAACCACTTGCCCTCCAGAGGATTTGCCCCTCTTCCTGATCAGGCTATTTTTTGCGATACGGTGCTGTGTTACTTTAACTGACAATTGCGCGGTCCTGCAATGCTGCAGCCAAGTTTACGTCCTTTTTTCCCCCACAAAGAGCTTTTTTTGGTGGTAATTAATCGCCTGTGCGTTTTTAATTTTTTGCGCTATAAACAAAAAAAGACTGACAATTTTGAAAAAAACAACCCTGTATTTTTGACTTTTTGCTATTAAACTTGTCCAGTCAAAAAAATAAAAAAAATCAAATTTCATCATAAATTTAGGCCAAAATGTATTCTGCTACATCTTTGCTAAAAAAAAATCCCAATACGTGTAAATTAATTGGTTTACATGAAAGTTATAGTGTTTACAAATGGTGGTATATATACTGGAATTTTTTTTTTTTTTTTACTAGTAATGGCGGCAAAAGTGACTCATAGCGGGATTGTGGCGGGCATTTTGACACTGGGTGGAACTGACTTTGTGTCTCTGACATAACCAGTGATACCAATACAGTGATCAGTGCTAATAATTATTATATAATAAGCACTGACACTGTACTAATGGCACTGGGCAGGAAGGGGTTAACATGAGGGGCGATCAAAGGGTTAACTGTGTGCTGTATGTGTGTTTCACTGTAAGCACACTGCTTTGGATGGCTCTGCTATGCAGAGCCATCCAAAGCAGTGTGCAGGAACTGACAGGAGCGTTCTGGCACCTATCACCAGAAAGCCTCGGTGATAGCCAGGTGTCGGAGGGGAAACACTGGTCCCAATGACTGACAGCAAATGGTGGCACCCCCTAGCCAGCACTGCAAAATCATGTAAATATGTGATTTTGCGCACCAGTGGCACCCTGTAGCAGTGTTTCTGCTATAGAGCGACGCAGAAGCTGTTAATATGTGTTCGGCTTTAAAGGGATGAGGTGACAACCCTATGTAAATCTTGGTCGGTCCCTACTGAACGGGCCTACATTCAAACCATCTATGGCTGGCTTTACTCACACCCGGAGACCAGCTGTTACCTCCCAAGTACAGGCAGAATAAAGAAGTGGCCTCTCACATCTAGTATATCTAGCATGCTCTATTATCCCGCCGCCTCCAGCACTCTTCAGCCGGCAGAATGAAAACAAAGGACAGCACTTGACCTTTCCCCTCCAGACAACTCAACCAGCCATCCACACCTCCCGTTGTCTCCCTGGCCTGAACCTGACCCCGCGCTACACAAATACTCCCCACGTTTGGTCCCTTCCTCCCGCCGTCAGCCAGTCGCAGCGTGTTGACGTTCCTGTGCGTCATCTCCAAGGCAGCGGAAAATGGCGGAGGCTCTACCGGAGGCCGGGCGGTACTTCTGTCATAACTGTTCAGCCGAGATAAGCCCTCGTCTGCCGGTGAGAGGGGTGCGAGGATACCGGGGATGGAGGAGAGGGAGCCGTGTAGGGATGCGGTGGTCTAGGGGGAGGAATAGAGTCATGGCTGCTGCTTGTGCACCGGCTGTCAATTAGGAGGGCAGCAGGTGGGCGGTCATGGCTCCCCTCTTCCCTTACCTGTGCTGTCTGAGGCGCATATGGCAGACCCAGAGAGCGGAGCAGTACTGCCTGCTCGGGCACAATGTGTGGCAATAGGGTGGCGCCATGCCGGCTGCTGGCAGCACGAGCTCCTGTCCGCATGTTCTACCTGACCTGCATTGGGAACCGTCCTCTTGGTGCGAGAACATTCTAGAGCTCCCATATCGCGGGGGAAGCAGAGGCTCGGCACACGTCCTGTGCGTGCTGGTGTATGTACCTGTATTGGGCGATGGAGGATGACATGCTTGTGTGTGCCAGAGGCCTTCTAATCTACCAGACTCCTAGAATGATCACCCACTGAAAGTGGAGGGACTTGTATGAGAACTTCAAGCGTCTCATATACAGTGGGCTTTATTTACAAAACAATTCCAGGCTGCCTTCAAACCTATCCTCTCTTCTGTGTTGTGTGTATGCTTTATGTTCTCTGTAAGTGATTGAGATATTAAAATGGTATTAAACCCTAAAACATTCATTATATTGCACCTTATCAATTCTTAAAGCAGAACTCCATGTAAATTAATTTATTTTTTTGTCCCATTCAGTGAGGCTGTGCCTGCTTGTTTTTGTCCAGGGAGCCCACAAAAAGCTATACTTACCCTGTCTTTCGAACCTCCCAAAAACAGTGCCCCCCCCCCATCACCAGCGGTGGACTGTTCCTGCCCGGAGCCAGTCTATTGGCATGATGACATCAGGAACAGTCCAGTCACAAGACCATTGGCGTGCGGGGGTGGGCAGGAGCAGCAGGGACCGGTCTTGTGCTTGGAGGAAGTACAGTATCTCCCAGAAGTTAATACACCCCTCACATTTTTGTAAATATTTTATATGGACAGCACAGTGGCTAAATGGTTAGCACTTCCGCCTGGCAGTACTAGAGTCGTTGGTTCGAATCCCAACCATGGCACCACCTGCCTAGAGATTGCATGATCTCCCTGTGCCTGCGTAGGTTTCCTCTCACACTCCAAAGACATGCTGGTAGGTTAATTGGATCCTGTCTAAATTTGGCCCTAGTATGTGTATGTATGAATGTAAGTTAGGGACTTTAGATTGTACACCCCTTGAGGGTTAGGGACTGATGTGAATGTACAATATATATATAAAGTGCTGTGCAAATTGACGGCGCTATATAAGTACCTGAATAATAATAAAGAATATTATCTTTTCATGTGACAACACTGAAGAAATGACACTTTGCTACAATGTAAAGTAGTGAGTGTACAGCTTGTATAAGGCTACGTTCACACGTTTGGGAAACGTTTTTAACACTTCTCAAATGCTTATGAATTCTGCACATGGCAACACACGGTGCTGTTCACACAGAAGCGTTAGCGCCGCAGGAAAATTGACGCGTCGTGTCCAGTCAGGAGGAGTTGGGCTACATTCACACTAGCCTTGTAAGCAAGCGGCAGACAGGCGTTTGGGAATCGTTTTTACCGTTTCCCAAATGCCTGGGAAATTCTGCACATTGCAGCACATAGTGCTGTTCAAACAGGAGCATTAGCGTCGCGGCAAAACGGACGCCTCTGGTCGAGTCAGGAGGAGTTGAAGCCTCCTTTTCAAGTTTATGGTGCCGCTCCGCAAACGCCCGGCTGGAGTGTGCGGTTGCGGGGCATTTGCAGAGCGTTAACACCATTCAGACTTCATTATAGGCGTTTGTGGGGCGTTTTTAACACTCGGCAAACGCCTAGCAACTGCCGCTGAGCCGCGCATACGGAGCGTTAAAAAAAACGCTCCGCAAACGCCAGACCAACGCTTGTCAAACGCTATAGGGGTGTTTGGCAAGAGTTGGAAAAACAGTCAAGTGTGAACGAGCCCTTGAAGCCTCCCATTCAAGTCTATAGTGCCGCTCCGCAAACATCTGGCAGACGTGCGGATGTGGAGCGTTCATACTATTTAACTTCATTATAGGAGTGTTTGCGGTTTTAACGCTTGGCAAAAGCCTATCAACCGCCTCAAAACCGCGCAGAGGGTGTTTTGGGAGCGTTTGAGGAGCATTAAAAATGCTTCTCAAACGCTATAGGGGCGTTTGGCAAAAGTTAGAAATAAAGTCAAGTGTGAACGAACCGTAACAGTGTAAATTTGCTGTCCCCTCAAAATAACTCAACACACAGCCATTAATGTCTAAACTGCTGGCAACAAAAGTGAGTACACCCCTAAGTGACACTGTCCAAAGTGTCAATATTTTGTGTGGCCACCATTATTTTCCTGCACTGCCTTAACCCTCTTGGGCAACCCTCATTTTGTCCAGATAAAAAAATGTGTTAACCAAAACCGTATTTAAATCGGAGGTGATAATTCGGAATGTTTTAAAAACAAAAGGGGCTTTATGGCAACTTAAATGCGATATTTTTAACATTACGCTGTTTATCTCTCCCCCTCCCTGCCTGTCTTCAGCACCGCACCCTGGGGACTAGCAGGGAGCAGTCACACCATGCAGTGTAATGAGCACCGATTGGGTGCTTGTCAGGAAAAGGAGCGTGTCGGGCTTTTCCTTTATCCATTTTGCTGCCAGAGCTGTTTTTGCACAAGATTAAAGAAAAAAAAAAATCATTTTAGGCCTGAAGGTTACATAAAACCCCCAAAACATGATATATTTTCTGAGCTCAGAGACCCTAGAGAATAAAATAGTGGTAGTTCCAATTTATGTTGCATGATATTACCGCAAAATTTTTGTAAAAAATACAAGTTAGTAGTTTAGGGCACAAAAAAAGCAGTAAATTACCCTATTTTTTTTGTAAAATATAAAAGGTGAGGTTGCAGCAAGTAAATATTCAACTTTTCAAACCTTAAATTTGCATGCGCTCGTGAAATGGCGACGAACTTCAGTACCCTATATTTTCTATAGGTCACACTTTTAAAGCCCCTTCTAAGTCATCAGTATAGTGTTACGAAGAAGGTCTGGTGCTAGAATTAATGCTCTGATTCTGGTGTGCGTGGCGATGTGTAACCTATATCGCAATCAAGGTTTTCATGTGTAGGCTCCCCAGCATGAGATTTTTTGTTTGTTTTTTTTGTCGGTATGTGGTGGGGGGGGGGGGGGGGGGTGGGAGAGTTACGTGCTTGTGTTTAACTTTATTTTTTTTTCCAATTTAAAAAAAAAAAAAACAACTTTTTTTTCCCCCATCACATAGGGGGCAATATGATGATTTTTTTTTTTGGTGGTGGTGACGGGTTCTCTTTGAGACATCCAGGGTCTAAAAGACTCTGGATGTCTCCCCTGATGTAATGCGGGGAGACATTGCACCACATTGCATTCGTTTCCTACCTCAATTGCTGGGAATCTGTGAATGGGGACCTGAAAGTGACGTCAAATGTCACTTCTGGGTCAGGACAAGAAGGGGAGCCTCCCCTCTAGCCGCCGGCGGTGAGCTGGTCCCGGGCCCACAGATAGGCAAGTGGAGCCCAGGAGACAGTGGGTGGGGGGGAGCTTCACACGGGGGGGGGGGGGGCAGAGAAGCTGGCAGTGTGTGGAAACATTTGGGCAGCAGCGCTTCTGCCCGAATGCTTCCACCTGACAGGTGAGCCCTGCTGCTTGACCGCAGCGGGGCTGAAGGTAGAAAAAAAAGACTACTGCCCGGAACTACATGTCCTGGGCGTCAGGTGATAGGAATTCGGCATTACTATAAAGCTACAGGCATCATCCTAGTATCAGTGTTTTCAGATGGCGATGCTCTTTTATGTGAAAGCAATCATAGTGGCTAATTAACCGCTTGCCAGCCGCTCTATAGTAGATGTACTGCTACTGGGCGGCAGGGCTGCGCAAAATCGTGTGTGTTTTTGCTTCTCCAGGTAGGGGGTGTGCACGCCACCCTACCTACGCTGCTATTAGCGGTTAGGGATGTTAATCACCGGATCCTGGCCAGCGATTCTCATCAGGGTCTCATCTCATCTGGTCTCTCCTGTAAGCAAGCACATGCTGCTTTTTATTTCTCTGCACAGCAGAGAAATACAAAGAATTGTCTCCGTAGTAAAACACACAGCACACTGTTAACCCTTTGATCACCCCAGATGTTAACCCCTTCCTGCCCAGTGTCATTCGTACAGTGTCGGTGTTTATTAGCACTGATCACTGTATTAGTGTCAGTGGCAGTTAATTCCCACCCAGTGTCAGATTACCCGCCGCAGTCCCGCTGTAAGTTGCTGATTGCCGCCATTACTAGTATATAAAAAAAAAAAAAAAATTTCAGTGTGTATATTATATACCACCATTTGTAGATGCTACAACTTTCACACGTAAACCAATTAACTTACACATATTGGGATTTTTTTTTTAGCGAAGCAGAATACATTTTGGCCTAAATTTTATAAATAAATTTTTGATTTTCTTAAATTTAATTGTCAAATTTAAAAAAAAAAAAAAAAAAAAAATTATATAAATTTTTTTTTTTTTTGGTAGTGCAAAAAAAAAAAACGCAAAAAATGCCACCGAAAGAAAGCTTAATTTGTGGGGGGAAAAAGGACAAATTTAATTTACCCTCCCTGGTGGTATTCCCGAGTGTAGCTCGGGGTAAAGTTTCAGTACCACAAGCGGTAACCCCGAGCTACACTCAGGCTTACCATGCGGCGTTGATTTTTCTCTTACCTTGTCCTGCTCTCCCGTGATGTCCATCCTGCAGTATCCCCTGTATTGTCCTCTGGCCGATGCCGGCATCTGTCTTCTAGGTTCCGTCCCCTGCGACGTCAGGACGTACGGGGGATGGAACGGCGTGAAATTTGAAAATGACAGTGACATTCACTAAAAACATAGTAAAACATTACTGTATCAAACCATTTCACATACATTTTGTCCCTAGTGCTTTGTCCTGTGCCCTGCCTGCATTTTTTAC